CAGTGTAGATAAATTTGTTAGCTGCTATTCATAGTTTATGTAGTAGTAGTCAGTAAAATAACCAATCTGCGGAAGCATAAATTGGATTATACCAGTTATAGTAAAATAATTATAACATTGTTGGATGAAATCCTTTTCTCACATCTTTTTCCACGAAACTGTACAGGACTAAGAAAGGAAGTTGACACTTTTAAAAAGCATTCCAGTAAAAGCGAGACACCCTATTTTCCATTTTTCTTTAAAGTTGCAATTTAGGATGAATGGGACTATGTAATGGTTATAGCTGTACTAAATTGGATTTAGTTATTAATTATTTTCATAGTAAAGCAAGTCATGCCTGCTTTGGCAGGGAGGTTGGACTCAATGATCTCTAGAGGTCCCTTCCAACCCCTACAATTCTGTGATTCTGTGATTTCATTCATACAACATATTTATCATAATATATACTGTGTCACCCTTCAATGGATATATATTAAAGGAACATGTCATGACTCTTCAGAAATGAATTTAACATATAAAAATAACAAAAATCCTTGACTCTTGCTGCCATGATTAAATCTGTTTACAATGTGTTCTGTGACTCACATTTCAGAAAAAAAAAGATTTTTTAAATTTCTTTTTTACAGGAATCAAGAAAAACCACAGGACCTCTGTATTTATATTTGAATCTACATCAAACAATTTTCATTTGGAACCATTGCCTAGAAAACTTCTTTCAGGGTGGAAAATGTAACCTATTTTTGAATGCCTTTTGTTTTGAGTTGTTACTTTGCTTTAAGTTGCTGTCCTGACTGCTTTTTGGAGAATGGGGCAGAAGTGATAGTACATGTATCTATCCAGTTTGGAATATCACTTTTCAGAAATATAAGTCTTTTCTTTTGTTGGAAAATGCTGTTATATGTTTTATGGGCCTTCATGACCCACTACAGTTTTACTCTTCAGAATTTTTACACATCAGTATTTTGCACTCTGCACTCAATAACTCTCCAACCAAGGAATAAGAAGATGCAAATGATAGCTTTGTAAGAAAGTAGGACAGAAAGGTGACTAAGCTAGTTAGTTAGACAAAGTGGTACGTGAATTTAAAATTTTAGAGCTGGCTCAGTATCTCTCCATAATATGCCAAATAGCTTACGTGCATTATATGTATGTTTAGCCTAGCAAACTTAGACTGTTAGAAACAGTGTGTTTCAATATGCAACAATCTTGTATATTCTACTAATAGGGACTAATTCACCCACTATATTCCTACCTTCAGATAATATGTAGCTGTACCTTCATCAATTTCTATTTCTGCAATTTAGTCGGAGAATTAATATGGTATTTTTCTAGAATAATGGATAATTAGATTGAAAATTCAGGCATATTTAGACTTCTTTCTTCGTATTTTCTGATCCGCGAATTGTTGATAAAGAAAAACCTTACCTCAGGTTCCAATTAAAAAGCTTTATAGGCAGTCTTACAGTCTAGACAGGTTAGGTACTTTTCCCAAACATGAGACTCCATAAATAAGTATCCATCATAATTTTCTTAGAAAAATTGGAATAGAAATGGTTGCTCCTGTATGGGTACTATTTCCAATGAACTCATTAGCCCACTGACAGGAAACTGATGACTGTTACTTGAACAGTTTTTTTAATTTTTTGTTGTTGTTGTTGGAGAATGGACAGTTAACAAGTACAATTACCATGAGGTCACAAACTTGACAAGCAGATTATGCTTAAAAGAAAGTTACTTTTTCAATGCCTGGAAATCCATAGATTGTATAGATAGTTCATATCAGTGCCTTACCTTTCTGTGCTCTTTCTTTATTCCTCTAATTGTAAAATGTCATTACCTGTGGAAAGAAGGAAATGTTAAATGAGAGAAGTGGGTTATGAGACAGGTTTGCTTACCTATAGGCATTTAAGTCTGTGATCTTTCAAACACTGATGGTCTTTATAGATAACAAGACTTTGCTGTAGTTGAACAAAACTGTACAAGCCCCGTAAACAAATGCAGAACATTCTATTACTTCTAGTTAGTCAAAAAATACAAGAGTGTGTAAAGGCTCTCAACAGAAGAAGATTTAGGTTGGATATCAGGGGAAGTTCTTTACCAAGATAGTGGTGAGGTACTGGAATAGGCTGCCCAGAGAGGTTGTGTATGAAGATACATTTCAGTAAAAAAAAAGTAAATAAAAATCTAGTTGTCCAAATAAAAATTTTGAGGCCAAGTAAGCAATTATTCAAAATGTTTCTGCAGTACAAGAGAATTTGCTTTTCTGGGTTGCATGGGTAGGTGTTACAACATTTGTGATAGTATATGAACTGCTGGAAATTGAGATGTGAAGGTAACTGTTTATGGAAGGATTAATCCACATGAATAAAAATGTACATTGTAATAGGAAAGGACTGCCAAGCTATTCAAAAAAGTTTATAATCTCAATCAAATTATAATCTTCATACTCCCTCGAGATACAGGGAAGCTTTGTAATGAAAAGAAGTTGTAACGAAATATGCCAGAAGTCATTAGCTTATAGCATTCTAGATGTACTTAGAAATAGTTAATTTTAACATCTTGAAAAATCATGAGTGTGTATTTATACACATAAAGTTCTTTAAAAATTTCTGTGGATTCCACAAAATACAAAATGCGACATCGTGTAGATTTTCTAATGTATCATGGAAATACGAGAATCTAAACCAAATTAAAGTGATCATACTTGAAATGACAGTAACAGCAGACTTTGTTTTTTGTAACCTTACTCAACAGGCAACTTGTTTTGTGCTCGTTGGTGAGCAAAAGCAGTGGCTGTCTGGTGTAACTTTTTCATATTTTGTTGCAGTTGTTTATCTTTCATTGCAGCAATGGAGTTTTTTTGTTTGTTTGTTTTTTGTTTTTTTTTCTGCAGAACTTTATTAAATATTAGAACATTTGAAATTTTCGTATAATACAAATTAGTCAATCCCAATTTTTGTATTTTCAGGATTGCAGTCTACTATAGTACTTCTAAAAAAGTAAAATGCTATGTAAGTGAGGTTACTGTTGTACATAAGGCTGTAATCATGAATGTCTCTACTCCACTGCTAGGATAAAAGATATAAGTTGTTTCCATGGTCCATACAGATGTGTTCTGTTTTGTATCAGTGCAAATCTCTGTATTGTTTCAGGACTTGGGATGAGCCTGTATGTTTAGTTGGCAAAATTTTCTTAACATTATTTTATTAAGTAACCTACAGGTCTTCTATTCTATTCTACAAATACAATAATTTTTTTCCACAAATAGTGTTGCATTTTGGAAATGTATTTCTAACTGTTGTTAGAGATACTTCTAACTAAACAATAATAAAATTCATGAAAGATCAATGGCAGTTTTTTGGAAATGCTTATGAAAGGATTGTTTGTGTTTGTGTAAAAGTGCTGAAGTGTGCAAAATGTTGCGCTTTTTATGTTTACATTTTAAGGTTATAATATATCAACTCCATATCTAACAAAGTATACTGATTTGCTAATAATTGTCAATAAGCAATAATAATCTACCTTCACATTTTTTAGCTTTGGAGAACAACTTAATTCTTGCAAACAAAACCCCTATATTTCAGATGCTTAGAATCATAGAATCCTAGCATCATATGGTTGGAAAGAACCTACAAGATCACCTAGTCCAACCGTCCTCCCATTACCATTGCTACCATAAGCTACTAAACCATATCTTGTAGCTCCTCATCCAGATGCCTCTTGTACACTTCAAGGGACAGCAACTCCACCACCTCCCTGGGCAGGCCGTTCTAGTGCCTGACCACCCTCTCAGAGAGAAAGTTTTTCCTTAATTCTGATCTAAATCTCCTCTGGCACAACTTGTGGCCATTTTCTCGGATCCTATTTGTTGCCTGGGAGAAGAGGCCGAACCCCTCCTCATCCCAACTTCCCTTCAGGAAGTTGTAGAGTGCAATAAAGTCTCCCTTGATCCTCCTCTTCTCCAGACTAAACAATCCCAGCTCCCTCAGCTGATCTTCGTAAGACTTGTGCTCCAGACCCCTCACCAGTTTCTTTGCCCTTCTCTGGACACGTTCCAGGGTCTCAATGTCTTGTAGTGAGAGGCCCAAAACTGAACATAATATTCAAGGTGCAGCCTTCACTTCTCCAGAAGTCCAAGGTAGTAGTTTTGTTGACCCCTCTCCTGACTTCACAAAGAATTAAGAACTCTACCATTTCATGGTTGCTCTGCCCAAGGCAGCTCTTGACCTCCCCATCTCCCGCCAATCCTTTGTGAAGAGCAGGACTGTGACCTGCTAGAGCAGGGCACCTCCCCTGGGAGGCTCTCTTACCAGCTGCATCAGGAAGTTGCCTTCCAGGCACACTAGAAATCTCCTAGACTGCTTCTTCTGTACTGTATTGCATTTCCAGCATATATCAGGAAAGTTGGAAGTTCTCCATGAGAACAAGGGCTAGTGATCTCACTACTTCTGTCAGCTACTCATAGAATGCCTCAGCCATCTCTTCATCCTCATTAGGCAATCTATAGCAGTCCTCTTCCAGAATGTCAGCCTTGTTGGCTGTCCCTCTGATCCTTACCTGTATAGAGTCAACCTTATCATTCCCAGTTCCACGCTCAACAACATCAAAACACTAACATAGAGAGCTGTGCCACCAGCACAGCAAATACAATTTATGCAGTTGTTTAAAAGAACTATTTAAAATGTATGATTATTTGTATTATTGTTATAAATTTTAGAAGAAATATTGCTATATATAGTGTTCTTTTCAACTTCTTTTCTAGTATAGTTCAGATTGAGAGGAAATATCAGATAATCGGGAATTAAAGCATTTCTTCTTATTGTGTGTTTCTGTTGTCAGTGAATTAGTTAAAGACGCATTGTATATTTCCTTTAACCAAATCTAAATTTTGAGTTGCTTTATAAGCAGCCAACAACCCTACGTCTCTTGGATGAGTTGTTTTTGTCTGTTTTTTTTTTGCAAACTGCTGTTAAAATAATATAAATATTTTCTCCCAATAGCATCAGAGGCTTCTTGACATTTTAGAAGCAGAGAAGGCAGTCTTGTCAGAAAAGATAGAAGAAGCTCTGATGCAACAGTCACAGAAACATAAGGTATTGTTTTTATTTATAAAAGAAAAATGATTCCAGTGCACACTATAGATTTCATAGGCAATGATTCTGTCACAATTATTGACAGGAAAATGGATTTTTCCTTTTCAGCAGTTGACTGAAATTATTTTTAGCCACTCCTCTATTGAATATTGTTGTTGAATTTTTCATGATATTTACAGGAAGTGCTGGACAAATGTTTGGATGAAGAAAGGAAAAGAAGTAAGGAGGCTATTGCAGCTGCTGCAAAGGTATCTCTTGCTTAGCAACTCATTTCATAACCAAATTTGTCAAATGTTATATTCTCATCTGTGTTTAAAGGAAAGTCTGAGCATAGAAATAAGCGAATTAATAGATCTATTTTATCGTTTGTTTTCATAGAGATAGTCTGTGTAAGCTGTCTTCTATTTAAGCTAACCTCTGAACTAGTTTATTACAAGTAATTCGAAAATTGCAGTTCAGTTGTTGATGTTACCTGAATGTGTTTCTATTGTCTTTCAATTAGCATCAGTATCTCTCAACTTGAAGAGCTGGGTGGCAAGGTCAATTGATCTTAATACAGTTAGCATTGTATCTTACTTAATTTTTGCTAAAAATGGTGATTTGCACTGGGGGCAGGACAGTGAAATCATGTGAAAATAAAAACATTTCAACAAACTGTAGGTAATTTCTAATTCTGGTACAGAATGCAGTACAACATTTCAGTTGCTTGTAATGATCTGAGAAAACTAGTAAAAAAAAACTAGTAGAAAAAACTAGAAAAACAGCTTTATTTTTAAATAAATGAATTTGAGGAACCCAGTATTTATGGCCTTTTGTAATTTTTTTTTTTTTTTTACTTGTTGCAGTATTATCATCAAGGATACTGCACTGACTTATAAGCTTATTAAAATAAGGAGGAGTGAGCTGCTAGCCAGTGTTTGTTTTGAACTTCAGCATGACTTTATTTGTAGATGTTGTGTAATGATAGATCGTCTTGCTGATAAATATATTTGTGGATGGTTCAGCTCGTATAGATCTGTGCATTGTCCCTTTTACTTCAAATTCAGTGTGTTTCTTCTGATGATTTCATGTAATGGTTGAATTTTTTTATTAAAATTCAAAAAAGATGGAATTAAACTGCTTTTAGTATGTGCAGCTAAAGAGTTTGGGGATGGAAGACACATTTGTTTTAAGTATGCATTGGCTACTTTGCCAAAGGTAGTGTTTATACTGTTCTTGGACTTCATTAAATTCTTAAATTTTGTGATCACAGAATGCAAGCTAGTTATGATATGGTATACCCAAATGGACATTTAAGATCTTTGCTTCCAGCTTTTTAATTCTGTAACAGTTAAGTTATTGTCCTGTGGTAGTACAAGATTGGTATCACTTTAAGATGGATTGAAGTTTATAATTCAGAAGTAAAAATATTTTTCTCGTATCCTGTTAGCTCACTGATCTCATCAGGAAAAGTAAAATGTGTTCTTATAGCACCCACACTGGCTATTTTCCTCATTTACTTTTTGATTTGTTTTGAAGGCTGAAAAAGAAATAGTACAGGAGGTTGTTCTGAAAGCTGTAGAGGAGGAAAGGAGAAATATGGAAAAGATTCATGAAGAAGAAAGAAATATGTGGAAAGCAGAACATGAGAGACATAACAAGAAGATTGCCCAAGCTGTTTGGGAAGCAGTGCAAGAGCAAAGAAAACATAATGAAGTTAGTATGTTTTATTCTTCTATGGACTTGCTTTGTTTGTTTTATATTTAATTTTTAAGATCTTTCTAATTATGATAGATTTTCTTATGATACGTTGTTTTTCACTGCTTGTTGATATGCACTGCATTCGTAAGTTATTTCCATTTAGACTGGAAAGAATTTGGCAGTTTCAGAACATAGCTCCTGTGACTTTTTGAGGCATGTGTATTGAAATGAGGTAATTGTGCACTGTAAATGCCTGGTTTTCTTCACTAACTTCCAAAAGAGCCCAAGAGAAATTGTTAAGATAGTGGTATTATGTTGTACATTATTTATGCAACTTTTTCCTTTTTATACCTATGGAAGAAAAGTTACATTTATTCCTTATTATGCTGGAATTCCATTGTCTCTCTTAGTAAAAGGATGCTTTACTAAGATAAAATATAGAGTAGGTACAAAATAAAGAGGATTATTAAAATCAGAAACCTAAAACATTAACAAACCAATGTTTTTAGAATTACATCTTAGACAAATGCTTCTGTAGGGATAGTTGTATGTAATAAGAGGAACATTCCCAGCACAGTACTTAACAAGACAGTAGGGATCTCAAATTAAGTAGCTCTTCCAAAAGTTCAATTTTGTAGTCTCTACTGGTCAAAATATCTGAAGGAACAGTCTTCCTTCCTTTTGTTGGTGGCCTAGTTGTTTAAAATTCTTTGCACTATGAGATTCAAGATGTATTTCATTCAAATGTTGGAATTTTATGTTGCTGTTTTTTTAACACACTGAACAATAAAAAAAGAAAAAAAAAACAAAACAAAACAACTACGCAGCTTTAAAATTTAAAGAATAGGATAAAATATCATATATGTTTAAAACCCATCTCCTTGCAAACAGATGCCATTACCCTTTCCAGTGTTTAAAAGAAATATTCATCTCACAGCTAACCAAATTTACAAAGTTATTTTTTGATGCAAACCCATTATTATAATCTGCATCTGTTTTGTGTACATTTCTAAATGTAAATTAGAAGTTGTGTAAATTTCTAAACAAAATCATTTTGTTTTGTATGTAGCAGGCTTAATTTTCTTGAATTTAAAGATATCAACTGATAGGATGTCAGTTTTCAAAGTAGTAATTTTACTGTGATGAGCATTGCTATGATAAATTTTTCATGATCAAAGGATAATCCAGTGACTTCAAAGCTAAATTTAAGCTAAGAACACTACTCGAGGTTTAGCTACAGTAGAAATCTTTTAGACTACCCTGAATGACTATTGGTACCAGTGGTACAGAGGAGCTATTAACAGCAGAAAGAACAATAACATAGTTGCGTACTACAGTGAAGAAAGATGATAGTTTTATACCATGTGGAACATGAAGAGATTAGTAGCAGGAGAAAATAGAAATGAATGTGTCATTAAATTAATGTGCAGTTTAGTGATATTCCTAAGGCAGATAGTTCTGTCCTTCTGTGGAAACCTGTGCGTCTTGGACAAAATGTGCTGTCTGTCAAATGAGAAGATTAACGTTGGTTTTGTGTTTTAAACATTCGTCAGGGAACGGGTCTCATAGTTGAGTGTATGAGGTCAGGCAGGATTCTATTCTTATGTACTTGGGTTGCGCATAAAATATATTCAAGTAACTCAAGGTAGGTGTTTTTTTTCCTGGAACATACTACTGGAGTTTCTTATTACTTTGGAAATAATCACGGGCAGCATAATATTAGTAGTTTAGTATTGATTAATATATTTTCAGACAAAATCTTAAATACTGAGATGTCAGTGCTTTTCCAAGGAAGAAATTCAGGACTTCAAGAGGACTTTTCAGCTTGGGATGCTAGCTAATCAAGCAGTTCATTATGTTAGATTATTCAGTTATATACTGCAATGCTGAGTAGTACTCTGTTATCGGAGAATGTTGTTAGTACTTCTCCCATACATTTCTTGCTTTTGATCTAGTTATGGAGCATTCATTAATTCTTTTTTCTAATACTGAATAGCTCTGACAACTTTGATGTTAAGAGGAAGAATTTATCTAACAATAAATTGTGATTTCTCGTTTGAATTAGGCTCCTTTTTTCAAATATTTGTTTTCACTTAAGTAAAATGCAGATTTTTCTTGAGATTTCTAGAGTTCTCTCATATAAATATGTATAACATATTTGATGTTTTGCTTTTTGCAAGAATGCAAGTTCTTTGGGAAGGATGGACTTTCATATGGAATGCTTTTCTTTGCATAAATTTTCATTTTTTATTTCTACTATGAAATTACTTACTTCCGTAAGCCTCTTATAAACATTCTACAGCTACTAAAATTTTCTCAATCTGGCAACAAAGAAAGCTGTATAAAGCTGATAAGCCCAATTGGAAGTTATCAGAAATGACTTTGATTTAGAGCTGAAAAATAGTTGGAACTACTATCAAGCAATTTGTCAGTTGACAGTGGTTTTATAGGGCCTTCTACTTAGTTTCTTATTTGCATTTTTTTCTTTAAGATTTTTCTTGCAAGAGGTATAAAAACTATTCACTTACCTGCAGTTGTTGTTCAGACAGCATAGTCAACATGTCAAGTCAGCCCTGTAATGGCCATTAGACGTAGTCTAATATTTTGGACAACTAAATGTAAAATTGTGGTAACATAATGCCTCTTTTAATTCCTCATATCTTGTTGTATAATTCTTTATGCTTCTTGCTTCAGAATTGTCATTTGATAATATTATTATGTTTAGCACCAAGTAATGAAACAAGTGTGGATGCATGTAAGTGAACATGCAAAATATCTTTTAGTGTCAGGCATATAAAAACAGCACTACAGGGAATACTGTTATTACAATAGAACTAACTTTTAAACCAACGCATAAGTTTGGAACTTAATACTAAGAAAGAGAAGCCTTGTTCTCAACAAAACTCGGTATCCTTTTCAAATTCTCACAAACAGGAAAAATATGTGTTTGAGATAGAAACAATATTTTTATGTTTAAAATTGTCTTTCTTCTACCTCATTAGTAATTTTGTCATAGAAACTTAGATTACAATTGAATTTTACCATGCTGCAAATTAATTTTAAGAGATTGATTTTAATGATTTGAACAACAAAGTATTATGTCAAGCATAGTATTAAATAGGAGCAATTTTCCTTTGCTAATGCTAGACGTCTGCAAAATTGAAAGACTGGAAAGGGTCATGTACACTACTGCAAATAGTTGAGGCAGAATGGCTTGCAGTCATGAAACACATAGGTAAATCTAGCAAAGAAGAATGAAAAAGTCTGAACATATGCTAAATTTTATGATCTTCTTTGAGATGAACTTCCACTTTATAATCTGTGATTGAATTATAACCATCACGATTAACCCATTATCAATATTAAAAATATTGTTAACAAATATGCAAAGTAAAGATAAACTGACGGTGAAAATAATCCTAAAAATTCTGAGTTAAAGCTTCCTTTTTTAAAAGTAATTAAAACAAGAAGATATCATAAATATGACGCTTAGATGGGGGAGAATAAGCTCTCCTTGAAATAAGCAAGCTTTTAATTAAAGAGAATGTACATTTGCAATGTAACTACGTAATCTTTTTGCAGCACATTGAAAAGTTATTATAGGTGAGGATGTTTACCCTGCTAAATGTGGACTGGCACGTCTCCAGCATTTTATCTTTTATTTTGGTATACTCAACTGTTTTTTTTTTCAGTAGCAACTTCCCTGCAAAGAGGATTTAATAGGCCAAGTAGTCCTCAATGTTGTGTGGAATGAGGAATGACTGAAATAGAAAATTATCCCACTAGAATATTTTATCTAAAGTTTTTTTTTTTTTTTTTTTTTTTTTTTTTTGATTTAGCAGAGGTTGCCCAGTGCATACAGAGATCTATAAACTGAGCTAAAGCTGAACCCTTCCATGTAGAACTCAAAATGGCATTTAAGCACCTAGTATAAATGTAAGTGGAAAAGACAATGAACAGTGCTTTCTGCTGTTAAAGATTATTTTCTTCCCTCTTTTACTCTTTGGAAAAAAAAGTAAATCTGGGTAATAGAAAAGAGTGAAAAATTGGGGATATAGGGCAAATTGAGCAATAAAAAATTCAATAAAATAGAAATAACTGAACAGTAGGTCACTCCAAAAGTAATGCCTCCTGTTTATTGCCACAGAACTTAAAAGCACAATAACAGAATTTGATAGAGCAAATTCTCTGCTACAAAACACTGTTTTTCAACATAGTCACCACCATTATCTATGCTTTTATGTTGGTGATGAGCAAGAGCCTGTGTGCTGCACCCATAAGAATCTGCACCTGTGGAAGTGACCCACTGTCACTGTCACCACTGCTGAAACACCACCCACCACCTCACTGTGCTCACTGTTTGGTCTCCATAATCATTCAGCAAGTGTTGATAAATGTCAGAGAGTGCCATTTTTTCCACATGGAGGAATTCAGTTACAAACCTTTGCTTCATATGTACTTCCACATTAGACTTCATATTGTCAGATTGACCTCTGCTTTTATCTCTCACATGACAACAATATGTAATGGAATCGTGGTGGGAAAGTCCAACCTCTGTTGTCATACCACTAACATCTGCCTCTGGTGTCATGGGCTAGCATAATAAGATAGGAGGCATTACTTTTGGAGCAAGCCTCGTATAGTTACTAGTCAATGCAAAGTAGATATACCATTAGCTAGAGCAAACATAACACTATAATGCAGAGAGATGTATGTAGCTATTTTAGCTCTCTGCATGCAGTGTTATAATTTCACAAAACTAAATACTTATTTTTTATTTTTTTTTCCTTCCCATTTATGTAATTAAGGCATCAAAGACAATTTATGCCTGACAATTTTAGTTTTAAAAAAAAAATCTTTAAAATTGAAATGATAGCAAGCATCTGAAGAGTGAGGCCTGGATTTTCAGTTCTATGCCGTAACTTGAAGGCTTGTATTTAAAGTATCATATAGAATCTACTGCATTTTATCCTGATTCTCAGGGGAAAAGGAGCCTGAATTCATAATTGCCATAA